TTAAAAAAAAAAAAAAAAAGTTAATAGCAAATAATTTGAAGCATAAGAAAACCAGGAGATGGTTTTCTTATTAAATAAATGAGTATGGAAGATTTTGAAAGAAACCAGTGTGGACTTAATGATCCTCAGGTTTGTGCTTTAAAATCACCTGGAGGGTTCTTAAAATTATCAGTGCCAGAAAACTAACTCAGAAAATTGGATGTAGTTAATCTCAGGTCAGCTCTGAAAGTTAGTGTTACTTTTTAAATAATTTGAATTTACTTATACAGGCAAGAGTTGGGATATGGACCAAAGGTGTTAGGAGGGAGGAGGTGGGCAGTGAGAGGATTCACCAGAAATAGAGTGGGGAGTAGAACAGACAGATCTACTGAAATACACTGCTGAGGGGAGCAGAGGGCAAAACAGGAGCAGTCTGCTGCGCCGTGTACGTTAACTCCCTGGCCCATATTGAACTCAAGTCCTAGTGGCTGGTGGTAACTTGACAGTGCTGAGATTTTAATCTTTGCACCTATATGACTCTAATGTGCAGCCAAGAGAGTGATCCATTGAGTTAACTAATGGACACTTCCAAAAAGTTCCTTTGACTAAAAGGGATCTGATTTAGTAGTTTTCCCTTCCCTTCTCTTTCCCTTCGTCTCCCTCCTTCTACCTGATCATATTGAATTATTAAGGCATTCAACACCTTTTTATTAGGTGTTATATAAAAACTCAAACAACTCAAACTCATACCAAATACTTTCTTCAAAGAATGGTTAATTTTAAGAGTCACTTAAAGATGGGTTTTGTTTTTAATGGCTACAGGACTTTATTTGTAATGTGTTTTGCAAGTAGTTGAAATATAATGAAAATTAAATGCTTGCCTGCAGCACCTGATGGTACCAGTCTATAATGTGTTTAATCAATGAATAAATAAATACATACCCATCAACTTGTCCCACATAAGTATAGTTTTAGGGAGTATATAGTTTGGGCCAGGGAAAGTAAACAGCAAAATACTGATGTTTGGGAGCAGGATATCAAGTTGTGGTTATAGATAAAGGAACCATCTCATTGGTGTCCTCTGCCTTTTCTCCGTGTCTCTTGCCTTGGAAACAAGCACATATGCTATTGGCATTCCATAGCCAGTTGCTTTTTTTTTTTACAGATTTATTTATTTGTGCATACAGAATTGGGGTACAGGCCAGAAGCTCAGGAGTGGTGAGAGGCTTCACCAGAGACAGAGTGGGGAGCAGAACAGGCAGATCGATGAAGTACACTGCTGAGGGGAGCAGCGAGCGGGCCAGGAGAGGTCTGCCAACACCATGTGGTCACCTCCTGGGCAAGCGAGAATCGAACTCATGCGGAAGCAGCTTTAGATTCTCAGTGCTGTGCTTTAACCCGCTGCGCCACCAGGGAGGCCCATCCATTTGCTTTTTAGTGGTACAGCTAAGGAGATGGAGCAATGTTTCTATTTAGGTTAAATTTAATCAAATCAATGGAGAGTTACATGATTACAGACAGAAGCAGTATTTATTGTGGTTTTTTGAATAACTGACTTTAATTGATGGTAACTGGTTTCAGGGAGAAAAAGCTTATACCTATGTTCTCTCACAACTCTGATAGCCTGTCAGACTAAGGGACTATTTTGCCTTCTTTTTTTCCCCAGCATTTAAAGATGCCTCAGAGAAGCTCAAACACCTTGAGATGGAGAACAATCCTTTGCCATCTCCTCCTCCCAGTATTGATGTTAACATCAACAGCCAGGTAGTCACATTTCTCCTTTGTGTACTTATCACCTGTGTCTTGTCCTTCTAGTAGAAATCCTTTCTTTCCAAAGCTAATGTTTTTCTCTTTCGCTAGAATGTCTGTGTGTGTTTTCTCATTTAAGATGATGAAATTTGTGGATATCTAGGGGGTCCTCTTGAAGGTTTTTAGTTGTGGCTAAGAGGTATATACCAATTACCTCTATAATTAAATTTTTTTTTCTTATTTCAACATTAAGTAACTTATGGAAATAACTAAATTAAATAAGTGTGAGGTCTCAGGTGTCCCCACTTCGAGACTAGTGAATTTTAGAAATGATTTGGAGACACCTCTGTTTTTGCCATATATTGACAACAGATAACAAGGATATAGAATGAATTGGGGGTTTTTTGTTTGTTTGTTTTTTGCTTTAAAGAGGAAAGGGGAATAACTGATTGCAGTATTCTTTCATTTTCGGACAACTAAATGGAATTTCTCCAGAGACCAGTATGGAGTAAAGGGTGATATTTTTTTGTTCTTGCAAACTTATAGTTAAAACAGTCCTTTTATTCCTTTTTTTTATTCTAACCTATTTTTTTCCTTTAAAATATCTTTTACAGGCTGATTAAATTTCAGACTTTTTTCTTTATCCATTAGTATTTTTTTCTGTCACATTGGTCTGCTTGCTTTTAATTGTCATTTTTTTGGTCTGTGAGGTAAGGGGGAGTCAAGGGGAGAGACAAGACTTAATTGAAAATTTAAATGAGGATACTATCCCAGTTGCCACCTAGACTCAGCTCACCCAGCCCCCAGCAAGCATCACAGCCATGGCCTAACAAATTCTTTGCCTGGAATCCTGGACATAGCTGCAGCCCCACAGTGGGTGGAGGTGAACCTTACACTGCCAAGGACTGATCTGAATAGACATATCCAGTAGTGCTTCCACAAGTATTTGAAGCTCTGGCACTAAGGGGTAGAGAGAAATCTCATTACATGAGAAAAGAAATCCTGAAAGCTGTGGGACACATTAACAAGATTAGTCCCTGCTCTGTTAGAAGAGAAAACTTGAGTGTTGTAGATCACAGAGTTGATGAATTTATGATTAAGTTGTGTGGAAATGAGAATAAGTCCACATTTGGGGACCATCATAGGCATATCCTGGCTATGTACAAGGTTAGGATCTCTGAGGGTGGGGGCCCTCCACTACAGATAGATCCCAGATCTTGCAGAGAACCGAGACCTGGTTCTCCCAGTCCCTGTTTTTAATGTGATTAATGTGGATTCCCTTGCTGGAAATGAGCTGGCTCTTCCAGGAGTTCATAATTCTGCTTGTGGGAGCCAGCTTTCCAAGAAGCCACCACATTGGTGCCAAGGTTTACACCATCTCAAAGGAATCAAGGCCCAATAGGGGAAAGACACTACTAATGTGAGTAATGAGGAAAGCTTCACACCCAACTCCCTGGAGAACATTGAAGCCCTGGAGGTGCTACAGATTGCCATCCAGGTGTCTGGTTACCCAGACAAGGTGGTGATCTGTATGGATATAATGGCATTTGAGTTCTTTCAAAATTGGGAGTACAATCTTGACTTAAATTCATCTGATGACCCCGCACAGCACATCAGGAAAAGCTGAGATAGCTGTCAAAAAAAACATCATCAGGCCCTCCCTGGTGGCGTAGCGGGTTAAAGCACTGCACTGAGAAACTTAAGCCACTTCCGCATGAGTTCGATTCCCGCCTGCCCCAGAGGAGTCCACATGGTGTGGCAGACCTCTCCTGACACGCCCGCTGCTCCCCTCAGCACTGTACTTCGTCGATCTCCCTGTTCTGCTCCCCACTCTGTCTCTGGTGAATCCTCTCACCCTCCGCATCTCTGGCCTGTACCCCAGTTCTATATGAATAAATAAATAAATCTTTAAAAAAAAAAAACAAAAAACAAAAAACAAAACATCATCAAATACTACCTTATTGTCTCCATTGAGGTTGCCTTTGACCAGGATGACTGGGCCACCTAGATCGCATTCCTCTCAAAACCCAAAAGCCATTTGAGAAGCTGGAGGCCCAGGTCTTAATGCTCTTCCCCCCGAAATAAACACTAGTGCCAACAACAAAATAACAGAGTGGAGGGAGAATTTAAATGAAAGTTTTACGTGGTTGGCAATTAATTTGATAAAAATTAAGTGAAAGACTGGAATGAACCTAAATTATGATGAAGCTTAATAAATTTTGGTAGAATTGGCAAGAGAGAGAAGTGATTGCCCTTTACATTGCACAAGAGTTCATAGAAATCGTTGAACTTACTTTTTTTCTTTTTCTTGGTAAAATTCCCTGCATGTTTGGCTATAATATACTGATCCTCTGAAGCAAAGGATATATTAAATTATTTATCTTTTTATTTATTCATTTTTTTCTTACATCATATAGGCTCCATATTTCTCCCACCACCATATTACTCATGAACCATCACTACATTCTCTTGTGTTCTTCCCTTTCTTATTTGACACCCCCTTGCTATATGCCATTAATCTATGGTCAGCTTGCTAGTTTTAACTTTTTCTTGACCTTTTGCTTGTTTGTTATGTGTTCCACATAAGTAAAACCATCAAATATTTATCTTTTTCCTTCTGACTTATTTGGCTAGCATAATCCTCCAGCTCCATCCATGTTGCAGCAAATGGCATGGTTTGTCTTTTTTGATTGCCGAGTATTATTCTATTGTATAACTATATCACATCTTTTTGATCTATTTGTCTGTTTTAGGGCATCTGGGCTGTTTCTGTATCTTGGCTGTTACACATAGTGCTGCAATAAGTAGACTGAAACTTCCCTTTCAAATTATAGGGGGTTTTTTGGGGTAGATTCCTAGAAGTAGAATCGCTGGTAGATCCATTTTTGGGGTTCTGAAGAACCTCCATACAGCTTTTCCCAGTAGATGGACCAGTTTACATTCCTCCCAGCAATGCAGAGTTCCTTCATCACTTTTTTTAAAGCCAGCAGGAAAAACCTATAGTGAGTTGCTTCTTATTTCAGTGTTAATGTTTGCCTTTTCTCCCAAAGCCAATGGGAGCTTAAAGAAAGTATAGAAACTTTTTTCTTTGAGACTCACATATGTAGGAAATATATTAACTAATACTTGGTAAGGTCTTACTCAGTGCAAGCAGTAATAATTTAGTATTATACTAAGAAATAAGACCCCGCTGGCTACCTTAACTCTCCAACTAGAGTATTGTATAAAAGTTGATTCAAAGGGGAAAAAGTTGATTCATGTTTTATATGAATCACATATGAATGCACATTTTTATATGAATATATATATATTTTTTAATCCGGTCTGATTATTCTGCCTCTGACATTAGCAGTTGATGTTTGTCCAAGGAATTCAAGTCAATATTATCTTTTTAACTTTTTACAACATATTTTTCTGAAGCAAAATATCAGTTGCTGGGTGTTTAGTTCTAAGAATTATGTAATTGAGAATCTCTGACCCAGCTGCAGAATGTTGCAGCTCAGATCAATACTGACAGCAGAGTTCATTTCAAACACGTATTTTAAGAACAGATTTTAAAGGTATCTCTTTGTACATCAGACTTTGCATTATTCAGGTTTAATAGTCACTTGAGATCCTGATAGGACTGTTGATTTGATTCTAATTCTACAAATATGTTAACTGCTTACTTTTTCAAGAAATAATAAATATTATATAGAATTCAAAGAAGAATGATAAAGCCTTGACACTTGACCCTCAGAAAATTCAGACCTGTTCTACTAAACCCCATTGGAGTATTGCAAATGACTTTGTTCAATGACTACTTCCTCCTTTCCTTCCTTCCCCAGCCCTCTTCTACTCCCTCCATTCCTACTCTTCCTCCCCTTTCTCCCTCCTTCCCTTCCTTCTATGCTAGTGGAATTTATACATGATAGCAGCTGTATAGTAGTTTTTGAAAGATAAAATTGGGATCCATGAAGACTTTGATGGCCTGAAATGATTGATTGGATTTAAGAATATACATTGCAACAATTTTGATAGACTCCTGTGTTCGGGTAAGGAGGTAGAATATAACAAGCACGTGAAAAAGATGTAAGAATATGTAAATGCAGCTTGAATCATATATAAATGTAATATGAAATGTGACTTCTCAAAGATCTGTGTTGTGTTAACTGAAAGAAGGGAATTTAGAAGGGAATTTCAAATATAATATTATTCATTTCTGTATATCGCTCTTCAAAATTCATTTAGGAAAACTGAGCCCTCCCTGATGATGCAGTTTGTTAAAGCATAAGCACTTCCACTCTTTGGAAGCCAGTGAAGCACAAGTTCAATCTTTGGACAGGAAACTGACTCACATGGCTTGGCAGACCTCTTCTGTCTCATCTGCTGCTCCCCTCAGCAATGTATTTCAGTACATCTATCTGCCTGTTCTGTTCCCCACTCTGTCTTTGGTGAATCCTCTCACCCCTCACACCTCTGGCCAGTACCCCAGTTCTTGTATGCATAAATAAATAAATCTTTTAAAACTTTGATTTAGGAAAACCTATTAGTTACTCTTAGAGAAGAGAAAGGCAATATGGTAAAATGTCTTGAAGCTAAGTTGTAGCTGAGGACCAGTTTTTTCAAGAGAGAACATTTAGATATGTCAAAAGCTGCTACATGAAAGAGGAATTACTATAACTTGTTTTTATTAACATCAGAAAATAGTTAAGAGTCAGTGAAATGTTAGAGGTATGTAGATTTAGCTTTAGTATAAGAAGCATTTTTGAACAGTTTCCTGCAAATGTAATGAGCTATGGAGGAAATAAGTTCTTTAGTGTCATTGTTGAAATTCTCCACTCTTTGTTGGTGGCTCCTTTTTTGGAAACTTATTCACAGTTCCTAAGCTTGACCTTTGTTTTTTAAATTCTTTAAACTTAATTCTATGTCAAAAGCTTTAGATTTTCCAGTTATCTCCCTGGTCTTAATTATACAGAACAATTCCCGGATTTTCATTCTTGAAATTTCATTTCAGGAATCACTTTCATTTCTTA